ACTGGGTGGACAGGAGAGTGATTCTGCGCCAGTTCTTGCAAACAATGAGGTCTCCCTTCTTCGGCAGTTTGACAAGGTAACCCTTCTTCCAATCACCAGCCAGGTACCTTCTCTTCCTTCCACACCTTCTGCAATAGTGGTGTGGTGTGAGCATGTCTGCTGTTGTCTCTGCGTCTGTTCTCAGTGCTTCTGGCTGGATCCCGTCTGGTCCTGCTGCTTTCCTGCATTTCAGTAGCTTTATGGCTTTGCGTTTAGGACTTCGACTTTTGTTGGAGGATTTATGTTCACTAGTAGTTCTGTGGCTGGGCTGTAGGTGGTATTTCTGGACGAAGTGCAGGTGGTGGTCGATTCAAGAGCTTCTTGAAGTGGTCGGCCCATCGTTTCCTTTGTTTCTCTTCTTTCGTAATTAGATTTCCGTCATCATCTTTTATTGGTTTCATCTGTGTTGGTCTCTTCCCTGATAGCAACCTGGTTATCTGATACAATGTCGTCAGGTCTCTCCTACTAGCCAGCAGCCTGTTCTGCTTCACCTGCCAGTGTTTCGTAGAAGTGTCTATTGTCTTTCCTTGCTCTTCTTCACTTCTTTGTCCAGTGTAGTGTTTTATACATTTTACTCAGTTCCTCTTGTCGTTGAGCATCCATGCACTGGTTTGTCTTCTGCTTCACCATCCTCCTCTCCTCTATCAGCTTCCATGTGTTCATCGAGATCCATTCCTTGTCTTCTTTCTTTTCCCTTCCTAATACTGTTGTGCAGGTTTCTTTCCACATAGCTTCCAAAGACTTCCAGTGTTCTTCCACACAGGTTTCTCCAGGGATGTTCCTCGATATCTCCCATTTTGTCTTGATGGCTGGCTGACGTGAAGATGTCCCTGGTAGTTTTGTCCTTCAGTTTCCGAGTGTTGTACGTGAACTGTGGTCTATCACCAGCTTCCTTGAAGGCTTTTAACTTGATTTGGAAGGTCCCTTGCACTAGATGGTGAGTGGTGTGAACCTACATCTGCTCCTCTTCTTGACCTTGTGTCAAGTAGACTGCGTCTCCATTTTCTTGAGACTGAGATAAAGTCGGTTTGATTTTTAGTGTGGTGTTTCCATCTGGTGAATGGTGAAATGCATGTCGCTTTGTGGATATCCTTGTGCTTGAACACACTACCTGACTCCAATCACCAAATCGTTGAATGCACAGAATTCTGCAAACAATTCTCCATTCTCGTTCATCACCTCACCGAGCGCTTCTTGACCCATGGTTAGTTCTCTTCCTGTGTTGTCCCCTCCCAGTTTGGCATTCATGTCGCCTATTAGAATTTTGATATCGCCAACTGAGGTCTTGTCCAGTGTTGATGGAAGTTGTCTGTAGAATTCCTCCTTCTCTTCATCTGCATTATTTGTAGGTGCATAGCATTGCATGATTGTGACCTTCCTTCCTTCCTTTTGAGTTGATCCTTGCTGTCATGATCCTGCAGGAGGAGATTGGTTCCTACTGTATGAGAGAGAGAGCCTTTGATGCTGTTGGGGACATCATGATAGCCACTCCAAAACTCAGTGTGCTCGTGGTTGTCGTCTGGGTGACCGGAGTAGATTATTGATTCTCCAGTTGACAGTTTGGAGAGTCCACTCCCATTCCATCTGCATTCGCAAATTCAAAGCACTTCAATGTGATACCTCTTCACCTCGTTTGCAATCTGGGCTGCCTTGCTGGGTTCAAACATAGTGCGGACATTCCATGTCCCCACGTTTACTTTCGCTTTCATCTAGGGAGAGAAGATACATCGGCCAATTGGCTTCCCGAAGGCAGGCTTTCACCAACTGGCGTCATTTCGTCTCTCCGATTCCAGCGAGGAATAATTTTGTTATTATTTTTTATATTTTGTTTGTGCTTTGAAGTTTGTTTAGCGGTTAGATTTGTTTTACGGGGTAGGGTTGCTAGCCCTATGCCCAACCTTCCCTGTATACCCGGGCTTAGGACCGGCTAGTAACTAGTGAACTAGTTAACCAGGCGAGGTTTCTTATCCCCTTGGTGAATGTTATTTAATCCTCTTTCATTTTTCTTTCAGTTACGTATACGTATATATATTTATTATTGTTGTATTCCCATTCTTATGTTTCTTATCTACTTACAATTACTTTCTCTTATATGTTATATGGGTTATCAATCATTTTGTTGTATAACTTAAGATGATTGATTTGCTATTTTTAATATATCTTATGTTCTAATGACTATTGTACTTTTAAACTTTATGCAGCAGCTGAAGAGTACTCATGAAATAAAATGATGTGATCATTTTAATCTGCAAATTTTGTCTTTCTTGCTTTATCCAAATATTTTTAAAATATTGAACTTTATGCTATCTTGACTATTACTTCATATAAACTTTAAGTAAATGATATGATTTTGTAGCAGTGCTTAAATCATAAACAGTTTTTCAGATATGTATTTATTTAATAAAACGCTTATGCTCAAATTTATATATTGACAGTGGCTTCCTGGAGTTATGAGGAGTTTAATTAAGACCTATGGAGAAGAAATAATTCAGCGAAGATATCATTTTCTGTAGCTGTACAGTCGTATTTATATATATCATAAACATATAACAGTCTATTATTAAACAATAGGGTATAATTAAATCATTAACCTAGTGCTATAAAACCGAAATCAAGAATGCAAAGTCGTTGCCTATTAATCTCCTAGACAGTGGAAATAACGACGAAGGCCAGGAGTTTGACAAGGTGAAAATTGTTGGTAGATAAGAAACGCAAATATTGAGTGTCCACTTGATAGATAGGTGTAAAGAAGGCGAACAATGAGACAAGGGTCATAATGAAGGTGATAATAACAAATTAGTTAATTATAATGAAATCGAAAAAATATGAAAGTGTTAAGACCATGGTAAGATGAGAGATTGAACACACTACTTTTGCACATACAGATCAGGCTTGAATTGATGAATTGCCAGTGCCTTGGCTGTGCACAACTGTCAAAGGCTTACTTCTTTTGAACTATTCCATCTGACATGATAAATGACACTGAAGGAGGATTCTGGTCGAGCTTTATGTTTTCAGTTGACCAAATGACCAAGAATTGAACTGTTAATTGATTTACATTCTTCTCTCGACAGCTATGCAGGATAGAGCTCAGAAATACGTTTAGAAGGTGCGCGCTTTGTGGGGCCTATATAACTAGCTCCACAGGAGCAAGTGAATTTGTAGACACACATAGCTGGGTACCTCTCAGCAGAAAGAGAAATCTAATCCATTCTTTATCCTCGAGAATCAAAAGAATCTGGACGAGTGCTGCTATCGACGAAGAATTCGACAAACTACGGAAGATTCTCATGCAAAACGGATATCCGTCCAAATTTATTGATAGGAACTTTCAAGTAAATGAGAATACGGAGCGAGTACTCACAGTTCCTTAGAAGACATTGTTTATGAGCGTTGTTTTCAAAGGTGATACGGTAGCAGAGATCCTGGATAATCGGCTGTCTAGATCACTGAAGAAGACATTCTTCCCTGTGAAGCTCTAGTTCAACTTCTCTAGTGAATAACTCATCCCAGAGTAGGTTTAAGACAAGTCGCCGTTTGGGCCACCTCAATGGGCATGTTTCGTAGTCTAAGACCTATGGTTCAAATAATAAGTCAGTAACATCGTATTTCTATCTCTGTCACTTGGTTCAAACACTTCAACACTGATTTTGTGATTTTAAAAATATATACACGAATTTTTTTGATACTAGGTGATAACTGAAGGTGAAATGAAAATCTGAACTGCAGTGGGATTCGAACCAGCAACCGCCGGATTTTTCGGCCCCGTACTCTACCAACTTATCTTTTGTTACTTTTTGATTTGAGTGGAATAAATAGACTTATGAAAATTTGTATTGTGCTTCTTAAGAGTAGACCTGCCTTTTATTTTTATCCACAAGTGGACTATTGACAAACATGTTCTGAAGACAGGTGAATCATTTTCACTGTCATGTGATCACTGGCTTGTATAGGCAGTATAATCCAACATAAAGTAAGATGAAGCCCCAAAATATTTATAACGTTGTTTTTAACTAAGGGAATGCTTCGTTAAAGTTAGAAGTACACAAACAATATGAGTTAAATCTCTGCTGAATTCGTTACACTGATAAATGAAAATGTTTAATAATTAAACGAAAGTAGCTTATGATCAAATCTTAATGTTCAGCGATGATTATCTTGGATATAGGTCTCAAGCCAATGAATTTATTTACTGTTACACTTACTATCTCACAGAAAGTTGTATTAATTTCCTTAACATGACTGACCAATGAAATATGAGTATCCAATTATTCACACTTCCCAGCCTGGCTGGCAAAGAGAAAACAGAAATATATCTTCAGTTCAATAACTGAACACCTCGTGAACTCAGGCTACTTAGCTCCTTTTGAGAGCTTGTTCAAAATCCTCTACAGGGTTTGATCAAACCGTCTGAAAGGAGTAAGATCAAGGGATTTGTTTTTAGCTGAGGTAGTAGCTACCTAGAAGTTCAAACCAGTGTTATGCTTCGAAAAAAGGTACGTCCAACCTTTATCTTTGCCATGGCCATCACGAAGCTTTGACTGTCATAGATTCATGCTGTACGTGTATTTTCATTATCCTCTGTTTATTTTCCTACTGTTGTCCAGCTCTATCTAGTATTGCATAGTCGTAGTTTTATTTTCACAACCCTTCGTTCATTTTCCTACTTTGCCATACTCTCATCCTATAATCCTTTGTCTGTTTTCCCACTCTAAACCTAAGTGTGTATTAATTAACTTCGTTTAGTTATTCAGTATATTTTGCCCCTCTAACCCAAAATAATTCTGGAACGTTCTGCCTACTGTAACACATATATTCATGAATGTACAGAATTATAAATGACTTTGTCGAAGTAAAACATTTTTCTTCTTTGCAATCACCTTTCGTCTTTTCCAATTAATCATTAATAATATTTTCATTGTAAAATGTTGAAAAAGAAGTTTGAAATTCTACAATTTTACCTCATACTCTCAGGTTCTTCAGCACATTTCCCAACAGCTTTAGTTGTATTAGTTAGTAATTCTTGATTTGTTCTTGTTAATAGAGATACTAATGGTGCAATTCCTCCAGCTTTACGTATTGCACTTCTGTTGACTGGATCTTTAGCCATTTCACTGAGTGCACCAACCACATTAACTAAAACCTAAAATAAATACAGTAATATAGAGAGCTATAAAACAGAGTAGTACATAAAAGAAGATGAGTATATCAAAAGTTATATCAGGTAATGAAATGCTGTACTCACAATGTTACCACAACAAAAGAAATGTGTCACTCATGTCACCATCATTAACATTTTGGATATCATTTAATCATCATAAATATATGAGGTGATCCAAACTAATTCGGCTGTATGGGCTCACTTTGTCTTAATACATGGCTGACTATCTTAGCCTCGAACGGGCGAAACACCGTCTGATGTTTATTTCACTCTGAACTGGCTGGCAAAATACTACAGATCAGCCTGAGAAGTTTCTAACTACTCAAGTTGTTCAATAGTAGTATCTTTTGTTAGTTTACAACACTTCTGTGTCAGAGATAATACTTTATATTCTCAGCTGAATAGTTTCCGATGGAAACTTCATTGACTGATACCGGAGATGAGCAGTTGAAAAACTACTCCATTTTGAGGAATGTCAACATGGACCAGGGAATCTGTAAATAACTTTCAAATTGATCTTTCTATTATACCAGTTCATTTGTATGATCTACATAATGAAAGCAGTAAAACAGAACCACTTTTCGTCGTACTGCTCAAGTCCCTTTATTATAGTGACTTCTGTCTCGTAGCCTAAAACGTTAAGTAGTTATCAAACTATGTAAAACTCTGAAAACATTAATAAAGAAGAATATTTGCAATTTAAGTGGGAAGAAAGCTAATAGTTAGTATTCTTCAGTAGTCGATTCAGTCAGTCTACATCGCTGTTGAACCTGGCAGTACTACAAAGCGGTTTATATGGCCTCATCCTTTATAAATACACTATAGGCATCAGATGTTAAGATAGTAAATTAGGGGAGAATGTAATCGAAGGTATTAGGACGTCCTAAGAAGAAAACAAAAGAGTGTCAGAATATAATGAAGTTCGACATGACAATTAAAATGGAGGTAATATGTGGATGCATCTATCCCAATGAACTCGATTATGAACCACACCAGACAGACAGACAGAATTAACGTATAACCTCGCATAAAAGTGCATCCATCCGAGTTTCTACACTTCACAGTAGTATACAAAGAGCAGGTGGATAGAACAGGAGCGATAGCAAAGTAGACAACGTTGTGTGAGAGAAGATAACGGTTTTAGAAGATGTTAAGGAGTGAATACATTTGCACCATTGTGTCCAATTCTCAACCATGTCACCAATAGTCTTTAAATATTGGTTCCTTTCGCATCGGAGACCCCAGCCACAGACTCTACATCTCCTACACACGATTTAAGCCAACAATCAGAAACTTCATGGACTAGTGCCACGTAACGGTTTGGCCACCCTGAATCCTCTGTCAAACTAATCCAATTTCCCTTAGCATGCTATATAATGGTAGGTGATGAATTGGCATGGACAGTGCATGTTCAAGCCACATAATTCAATTAAGGTTCACAGCCTCATCAATCAACTTATTTGGCTTGCCTAGTACCCTTCGCCTGACTAATATTACCCGCAAATGGATTCAGAAAATGACCATATTTATGGTATCATCAGTTGAAATCATATTGACAGAGGGTTAATAAATTGAATATCCATCAAAATATCAGTTCAAAGTCTCTTCAATGGTTAACATTGAAAATTTTACGTTACATTTTTTTCACCGAGTCCCTGATACTACTGTTAGAATGTAGGAGGAAAACAAAATATTAAAACCAAGAAGTTATAGATTTGAAATGTTTATATAATGGTAAGGCTTTTCCTTGATAAGCTGTATACTTGTGCTTTAAAGTGTGACTTGAAGAGAAATTTATATTCTGGTAATCCTCGCTTCTGAAGGTCTGAAGAAGAGCCTGAAGCATGTTTATCCTATGTCCTAGAATTGAAGCATTCTACCGAAACAATTTAATTCTATATTCAATTCAGGATAAAGAATGGGAATTCAAAAACACTGGATAGACCGATAGAAATACAATCTGTTGTAGTTTTCTAATACATTTAATATTGAACTATTCAACAGAAAATGAGCCACTTGAGAAAAATGGTTAATCACACAATAAAACAGAAAGTAGTTTTTTATGACGGTTTTTTTAGCGATCAACTTTATTGGATTTGATTCGTAAAAAAATGTTTAAAAATGAATGAATGTGTCGTTGAATACACGCAGACCATTTTGCACCAAATAATATGCTCTCCTCACTATATTTATTTCACAGACAGATCTATAACGCCTATTCTCTATTGAATTCCTGGAATGTTTAAAACATGACTTTCGGTAAATACCCATCCGCTCTTTTAGTTCAGTTACTTGAAGACTGGAGATTAAATGCCCACATCAATCAGTTATTAAGGTATACTGCATAATCAATAGAAAAAATTTCACTTTATGAAATTTTTATATTCATCTATCGTTCTTGTATTCATAGTTATAAGAGCTTGTTATATCCAGTAACTTTTGCACTTCAGTCTATTTTTGCTATTCAGGTTGATATTCATCTGATACCAGTAGTAGAACCATTGAAAACCTGAGAGCACAAAACATTTGTTTTGTCCTAGTATGGGACTGTTTAGCAGTACGCACCCACGACTCCACCAGAGATTAAACTGTGGAATTTCAGGTCCCATGGCCAGTACATTACGATTAGGCCACTTGGTCGACACCTAATCGTCCCCATTCCTACTACTACCAGTTCACAATATAGCATGGTCTCAGCCGTGGTTCTGGATGAAGGTTATGCTGTATCATGAATTGACAAAGATAGCAACTGTGGAAAACTGGGTGCTGACCCAGTAGTCCAATGGTAACATGCTGGTCATGAGAGCTGAAAATCCTCCGTCCGATCCCCTTGTGAAGTCATAGGCGTGTACTGCTAAGAAGCCCCATCCTAGGACGAAACAGCTGTCCAGTACTCCTAACTGATGCCAGTTAGTGATGAATACCAACCTAAAATCAACAAATAAATTACCACAAACCTCTAAATTTAATTTTTATGATGTTTAAGTTGAAAGTTGGTATACATAAACTGTAATAAATTAAGTATCCACAGAAACAGTATTGAAACAGATGAACGTTATAACCATGCTTTTTAAAGCAACAACAACCATTGAAATAGGTAGCTAAACTAAGAGAAACAGAAGAAAAAATTCAAAAAAATAAAAGTTCTTATGGTGTTTACTTTCTTTGTTCTCGTGAATAACTGTATTCGAGGTGAAACTGAATCAATGTAAAGATAATTGGCCATCTCTTAGGAAGTAGTATTTCAAGAATGAAAAAAGGGGTACTATGAGTCTATAATACAGTATTATCACGAAACGTATACACTACTCAGCTGGTAATTCTATATATATATATATATATATATATATATATATATATATATATATATATATATATATATATATATATATATATATATATATATATATATATATATATATATAATTATTATTTATCCCTTGGGTTCCTAGTGCAACTTTCCTTCCCTTTGATTTGAACCTTACTATCATGATCCTGGAAGAGATTGGTTCTCACTATATGAGAGCCTTCGATGCCCTTGGGGACATCACGACAGCCACTCAAAAACTCAGTGTGCTCGTGGTTGTCGTCTGGGTGACAACATCGAAGTAGATTACTGACCTTCCAGTTGACGGTTTGGCGAGTCCACATCCATTCCACCTGCTTTCGCAGATTCCTAGCACTTCAGTGCTATACCTTCTCATCTCGTTTGCAATCTGGGCAGCCTTGCTAGGTTCAAACATAGTGCGGACATTTCATGTCTCCACGTTTACTTTCGCTTTTATCTAGGGAGAGAAGATACATCGGCCAATTGGCTTCCCGAAGTCAGGCTTTCACCAACTGGCGTCATTTCGTCTCTCTGATTCCAGCGAGGAATAATATCGTTTTTATTTTTATATTTTGTTTGTGGTTTGAAGTTTCTGTAGCAGCTGGATTAGTTTAACGGGGTTTGGTTGCTAGCCCTATGCCCAACCTTGCCTCTTTACCTGAGCTTAGGACCGGCTAGTAACTAGTGAACTAGTTATATATATATATATATATGATTATCGTTAAAGAGGTTCAAATATCTCATTAATGTAATTCCTAACAGAAGTAAAATCATCGAGTTTCCTAACGATATGCTACAGAAATGGCTCAAGTCCTTATGGTATTCTTAACAAATTATGAAGGATTACGGGTAAAGTTGTATTTAGATGACTGGATGTATTTCACTTATGAATGCACACTTCAAGCCTTAAACAAATAATCAATTGAATTTTGAGGGAGTTGTGGAGATTTGGAGATATTTCAAGTTGTTGTTCATCGTAGACTGATATCAGTTGGAGGAACAAAGGAAACCTGGGAGCACTGGACAGCTGTGTCATCCTAGAATGGGACTCCATACTAGGACCCCACAATAGGACGAAACAGCTGTCCAGTGCTCCCAGGTTACCTTTGTTCCTTCAACTGATATCAGTCTACGATGAACAACAACTTGAAATAATCAATCGCTTTACTGTTTATGATCAGGATAGTTTTTGCAAAGGTTTTCCCTTTGGAAAATTTACTGAGTAATGCTTTTCTTCTTAAAAGGTCAAAAGATCATAATAGTAGTTAGTGCAATTATTTTTATATCATACCGTCGTTGATTGGACCGAATTGGTAGGTCTCTATTGGCATATGGGATCTTGTGAGGATGCCTCGATATTACGGGTGCTCTAATGGTAGTATTGGTGGATAGTGGCCAGCAATGGAATCCAGGATGCGCATTTTTCATCCTATTTGGGACTTGTCAGCTGAATGTACCTGCTTCCCGGTGAATGTTGTTTCCAGCTGACAAGTCCCAAACAGGATGAAAAATGCACATCCTGGATTCCACTGCCAGTCACTATCCATCCTTACGATCATAATGCTGGTTTTGAAAGTATTTGGAATGTGAGTTTTAACAAGATATTGAGAATAAAGTATCATGTTCATTATTTTTTTCGATTGAATGACTAAAT